CTACTCCAAACCGGACCCGGACGCTTACACTTGCATTATTGGCGCCGTCTGTGGGGCCTCTTTGTTCAAAAAGTTGTGTTTGAAGCTCAGCTATGGCGGACGGAATGCCTAGAAACTTACAGTCGACGTTCGACGAAGCTTGGACGACGACCAGGCCGTTAGGGCACGGCCCTCCTCCGGGTTTTTCTGGCCCATCACAGACTCCGGTCACTCCCGCACCTAATTTCCAAGGTGTAGGAGCGACGACGGTGATCCCTGGCGGAGACGCCAGCTCCAGTCAGGCCCAAGAGGCTCGTTTAGCAGCGGCAGCGGCGATGCCACCACCACCACCACCAGATCCAACACAACGGCAAGGAGGAGTGCAGGCACAAGGAGGAGTGCCACTGCAGGTAGCCGTACAAACCCCGGGCCAGCAAGTGGTTACGATGACCCGGGAGGAGATGCAGAGGATAGCAACGGCCGCGGCGGCGCAGGCGGTGCAGCAGGTCGCAAGTCACACATCGCACGCCACCACTACGCCGGCAACGGCAACGGGGAACCAGGATGAGGATGTGTCTAGTTATGGAGAAGGAGGAGCTGGAAGAGATCGGGCGATGGAGAGGATGGCGGAGCAGTTGCGTCAATTGCAAGATAAGGTGGAGGGGAGGCCAGAGAGGAGAGCTCGAGGACATCCCTTTTCAAGGGAGATTCTCGCCGCTCCTTTGCCAAACAATTTCAAGGAAACCAACTTGGTGTATGACGGGTCATCTGACCCATCGAGGCATGTGAGGACCTTTGAGAATATGGATGTGTTACATGGATACTCTGATTCTGTTTGTTGCAGGGCATTCTTGTCGACCTTACGCGGAGGGGCGCTTGACTGGTTTCATCAGTTACCTTCGGGATCGATTGCGGATTTTGAGGATCTTGCCAGCAAGCTCACTAATCAATATTCGAGCGCAGTGGCGCAAGAAAAGACTTATCTGACCTTGATGGCGATGAAACAGGGTGAGAAGGAGTCGCTGAGGAAGTATGTTGCTCGATACAATAAAACATGTTTGAAAGTGCACTCTGCTTCAGATGAGGTGAAAGCAGGAGGATTAATTAGGAGTCTTCGAGCAGGGCCCTGCCGAACTTCTTTGGCAAAGACCCCGGCTCGATCATACGAGGATGTTCTAAAGCGATGCAGGAAATACATTAATCTGGAGGAGATGGAGATGGAGTTTGCAAAGCTCGAAGGGGTGTCCCAACCAGAACCAAAAAAGGAGCAGAACCACCCGAGGGAGAGATCACCAAGGAGAAACTCGCCTAAGAGGGGCGAGCGGAAGAGAGCGTCTCCTCGAAGAGGAAGTGGGGACGCGAGAGGGGAGAAGAGAGATGAATGGCAAAGGAGGCCAATGGTGTCCGAGAGGCAGAGGTATCACAACTTTACTCCTTTGAGGAAAGATATGACAGAAGTTCTCGATGCCATGGAGCAGAAGATTTCGACTGAGGATGTAACTTGGCCAAAGACAACGTTCACCGGTCCACATCGGCCCCGGTCGGATTTGTATTGTCGATTTCACAAGGATTACGGCCATACTACGGAAAAATGCAGGAATTTGAAAGATGAGATTGAGAGGTTGATTCGGGCAGGATATCTGAAGGAGTTTGTCTATCACGACAGGGTGAGAGGAAAAGACAGGAGGAGGTGTAGAGATGATTCCGAGGAGAGGAGTGATAGAGATGGAGAAGGAGATGGAGGGGATGGTCGAGGAAAGAGGTCGAGAAAGGAGGGAGATAGAGAAGGGCAAGGAGGAGGAGCCCCGCCGAAGAGAGGAACGATTTACATGATTTCTGGGGGGCCAACAGATGGTGACTCGAACAGATCGAGGAAGGAGCATGCGCGAGCGATGAAGAGAAAGAGAGAGGAGGTGGGGATAACAACGCGTATGCCAGTAATAAGTTTTAAGGCGGAGGATGCCGAGGGGGTAGTTTTACCGCACAATGACGCTCTGGTGATAACCGCGGAGGTCGCGGGTTTTGATGTGAAGAGGGTGTTTATTGATACCGGGAGTTCGGTGGATGTTATGTTCTATGATTGTTTCGTGCAGATTAACAAGGAGCTGAATGTGGAGCTGAAGCCGGTAGCCACGGCGCTTTACGGCTTTAATGGAGGAGAGGTTATGCCAATAGGGGAGGTCAGTTTGTCCGTGGCGCTGGGGTCAGGGGAGTTGAGGAAGGTGCGCATGGTGAGATTCGTGGTGGTAGGGGCTGAGTCATCCTATAACATCATCATGGGGCGGACGAGCTTGAACGCATTCCAGGCAGTTGTGTCCACGTACCACATGACGATTAAATATCCGGTGGGCGAAAACGTAGGGGAGATTGCCGGGGATCAGCTCACTTCGAGAAGCTGCTACCAAACAACAGTTAGCAATAACAAACAATTGGCGAAGAGACGGGCCGAGCCGAAAGGGGAGGAAATCAATCGACCAGGAGGATCAAGGTCGAAGGAGGAGAAGCAAAAAGTAGAGAAGGGTAAGGAGAAGATGGACATCCAGCCTGGAGGAGAAGTCGAGGAAATTTAGATGATCGAGGGTTGTGAAGATAGAAAGTTCAGAATCGGGAAGGATCTGGAGGAACCCACTCGGTCGAGGCTGCTCGATCTGGTAAGGGAGTTTGCTGATATTTTTGCTTATACAGCTGAGGAGTTAACGGGAATAAGTGCAGAGGTGATCGAACATCGACTAAATATCGACCTCAGCGTGAGGCCGGTGAAGCAGAAGAGGAGGCACCACGGGGCGGAGATGGACAAGATTATCGAGCAGGAGGTCGAGAAACTGTTGGGGGCGGGGCATATTAAGGAGATTCAGTTCCTTGAGTGGCTATCGAATACGGTGATGGTGTCGAAGTCGGAGGGAAAATGGAGGATGTGCATTGATTTTCGTGACCTGAACAAGGCATGCCCGAAGGATCTATATCCACTGCCCAGAATCGACCAGCTGGTTGACTCCACAGCAGGTTGCGAGTTGCTGAGCCTGATGGATGCATCCCAGGGGTATCATCAAATCCCCTTGGCTAGAGAGGATAGGAAGCGGGTAAGTTTCGTGACAAGTCGAGGGACCTATTGTTACGTGGTCATGCCGTTCGGTTTAAAGAATGCGGGTGCCACGTATCAAAGGTTGGTCGATAAAATTTTTAAAGAGCAACTGGAAAGGAATATGGAGGTATACGTGGATGATATGTTGGTGAAGAGTAAGGAGGAATTGGATCATGTGCGAGATTTGAAAGAAACATTCTTAACGTTGCGGAGATACGGGATGAAGCTGAACCTGGCTAAGTGCTCTTTTTGGGTGAGGTCGGGAAAATTTTTGGGCTATCTGGTGACCAAGAGGGGTACTGAAGTCAATCCGGAGAAGGTTCGAGCGGTGATGGAGATGAAGTCACCAACAAACGTAAAAGAGGTGCAGATTTTAGCCGGTCGAATTGCGGGGCTGAGTCGTTTCATATCGAAGGTGGCGGAGAAGAGCGGCCCATTATTCAAAACCCTGAAAAAGAGCGCGAAGTTCCAATGGACGGAGGAGGCGCAAAAAGCATTTGAGGAGCTACGAGGGGTGTTGGCCAACCTCCCTTTATTGGCCAAACCCGTGCAAGGAGAAGAGCTGGTGCTATACATTTCTATCGGAGAAAGAGCTGTAAGTTCGGTACTGTTGCGAGAGGAAGGAACGACGCAGTTGCCTATCTATTATGTGAGTAGAGTGATGCAGGGGGCCGAGACGAGGTATTCGGAGATCGAAAAATGCGCTTTAGCTGTGGTTGTAACGACTCGAAAGTTAAGACCTTATTTTTTGAACCATAAAGTGAGGGTGCGAACGAACATGCCATTGAGAGAAACACTTGGTCGGCTGTCAGTCTCTGGTCGATTGGTAAAGTGGGCAGTCGAGCTGAGTGAATATTCTTTGATGTACGAGCCAAGGAGAGCCATAAAGGCACAGGTGTTGGCTGATTTCATCCAGGAGGGAACGAAAGTCGAGGAGGAGTCAGAAGGACTATGGCAGTTGTTTGTGGATGGATCTGTAGCCCGAAGTGGGGTGGGATTGGGAATCGTCCTTATCTCTCCCAAGGGCGATTACTTAGAATTTGCGGCTAAAGTGGGGTTCAAGATATCCAACAATGAAGCTGAGTACGAGGCAGTGATTAAGGGCTTGAGCCTAGCCAAAGCAGGAGGAGCTCGAAAATTGCAGGTGCACTCCGATTCTCAACTGGTGGTTGGGCAGTTTCAAGAAGGGTTTGAAATCAAGGAGGATAGGATGCAGAAATATGTGGAGGAGATGAAGAAGCTGAGAGAGGAGTTCGAATCGTTCGAACTAATATAAATTCCTCGAGGAGAGAATGGTCGAGCGGACCTGTTGTCGAAAGTTGCCCAAAGTTTGGTCGATTGTAAGAGCAGAAGTGTCACTTTATTGCATTTGGAGAAAAGTGCAGTTGAGACGGAGGTGGCGGAGATCGAAGAGGTAGAGGATTGGAGGGCCCCAATCTTGGAGGAGCTGAGAGGAGGGGCTATGAAGGTGGTCAGGAGGTTTTTCGAGCAGGGAGGTATCCTTTACAAGCGGTCATATGGAGGACCACATTTACGCTGTGTCACCAAGGAAGAAGGTCGATATGTGCTGAGGGAGATGCATGAAGGTTGCTCCAACGATCACAGTAAATCGGGGGCCTTGGTCGCAAGGATCCTAAGAGCAGGTTATTTCTGGCCGACAATGAGAGAAGATGCGAAAGCGATGGTAAAAAAGTGTTTGCAGTGCCAGAAACACGGTCCCTTGATCCATCAACCGGCTGAAGCGATGACAACAATGAGTGCCCCTATACCCTTCGCTCAATGGGGCGTCGATCTGGTGGGGCCAATGCCGCAGGGAACGGGGCAAAGAAAATTCCTGATAGTGGCGGTCGATTATTTCACGAAATGGGTGGAAGCTGAGCCCTTGGCAAAGATCACAGAAGAGAAAGTAATCAAATTCCTATATAACAACATTTGCTGCCGTTTTGGTGTACCCAAGGTGTTGATTTCTGACAACGGCACCCAATTCAATGGTAAGCGGATTCGAGCGTGGTGTGAAGATATGAGAATCGAGCAGCATTTCACCTCGGTGGCTCATCCGCAAGCCAACGGCCAGGTCGAGGTAACCAATCGGATCATTTTGAACGGGCTGAAAACAAAGTTGGAAAAGGCCTCGGGAGCATGGGTGGATGAGTTGAACTCTGTGTTGTGGGCGTATCGTACGACCCCTCGGTCGACCACCGGAGAGACCCCGTTCAGCTTAGCTTACGGAATAGAGGCATTACTGCCAGTCGAGATCGAGATGCCATCCCAGAGGTCGAGCGCATACAATACAGAACAAAATGAAGACTTGATGATAACGGCTTTAGACACTATCGAGGAACTACGAGGGAAAGCAGCAATCAGGGTGGAGGCGTATAAACAGAGGATGCGCGCGGCTCATGACAAGAAAGTGAAGATTCGCAGACTCCAGGTCGGCGATCTAGTTTGGAAACGTGTCGATGTACTCAAGCACGTGGGAAAGCTGGAGCCGAACTGGGAAGGACCATACCTTGTCGAGCGAGTGCACGCAGGAGGAGCGTACTCGCTTAAGGATGCTGAAGGCTGATCACTTTCCAGGTCATGGAACATAGCTAATCTGAAAAAATATTATGTTTGAAAGTTTTTTTTTTTACATATGTTATTATTTCTGTACGACGTCTGAGAAATGTGAACAAGAATGTAAATCGCGAAAAATTTATCAAGAGGCAATGAAATTCAGTGATCTTTCTGG